CAAGCTAACATGTTTATAAGATTGGTGGTGGATTCACTTCCCTAGCCTTCTCTACATAAGTTCCTCTCCTCTTAAACTCCTTTCATTTACGGTTTTATGCAAATTTCATTTCTAGTTTCTAAGTGACAAACAAAACCAAACCTTATACCTCTTTCATCAAAAAAAGTGATTTTAAAACCTTGGTTGCCATAAACTTACAGTCCTTCTGGTTCGACTTACCGTTACGATAGCCTGATTTTACAATGATTTGTGCTATTGCAAAGGTTGATTATAATTGGTAGACGTTTATTGACCGATCAACAAATAAGGCGAGTCCTACCATAATTCCACCACCTTTTTGTGTATAAATAGAAGCTTAGTCGTCCAATAAAAGATATAAAGCAATATACGCTTTTCTCGGGTAATTCTTGCTACTTATTATTTTATCTTGAGTGAGTTGTATTATTTCTTTTAAATTCTTTTATAGAGAGAAATTTTGCACCTACAAGCAGCCATCATGATCCTACCGAATGTAGTAGGGATATTCTGGTCCTTTTGACTCGAGGATAAGTGCCATTACATTAAATGCTCATCTTTTTGAAAGCGGCAATAACTGAGATTCATTAATGTGATTAGTAATGTACGTTCTAGTCGAGGCACGTGGACTTCTCATTTTTTTATTTGCCAAAGCACCCAATGCTCTTAGCAATACCTAACTCGAGTCAAATCTGATGACGTAAGATGTGCCACGTGATTTTGCCGGCTTAATCCCCTACACATGTTATGGATTTATAATTGCCTTAACCCAAACAAGATAGCTAGTGATACAATATTTTAGAATGGATGATGGATGATTGGAGATACATTGAGGAAAAACAAAATGATTGGAGATATCCATTTTCAATTATGTGAGTGCGTGTATTGTTTATCTAACTAATACTAATAATATAATAAAATAAATAGTAATTTAAAAAAAAATTGTCAAAGAAAAACTATAGGATGGCTCAAATAATTGAGCGCAGTCAGCTCCTTGTGTGATTCTTCCTAGTAAATGCTTCCATTTAGTCTAAGTACACACTAATTTGTCATCTATTGACATGTTCTATATAATTAACAATATCTTCTTGATAATCTCCAAGATAATGTCATCTTGAACCAATAATACCTTGTCTTCGGACACTAAACAACCATTAAACTATTACTAATTTGTGCTTAAATCCAAGGGCCCTACTAACTTTTACAGTCTCGACTCAATATTGTTACTCATGTTGGGAAAATATGCCCTACAAGCCAATTATTTATTATTTATTCGATATTTTATTAATAAATATGATATTCATGCATTGGGCTTTACATATATTTGTATGAGATGCATTATTGTCCTCACGTTGCATTATAGGTAACTTAAGTGTGTAAATGAAATTTATACGCAGGAGATTTGGGCTCACTGGTTTCTTGTAACTTGGCATTGTTCGCAGTCAGTGATAAAAGTTGGGCACTTTTATCTGTAAGACTGTAACACACTTGACCTCCATAAGATAGGATGGGTTGTCTCGACCATTGGGGTAGTTCACTCTAAGGTAGTGTGTTAGTGTGCTTGGAGTACACTGAACTGAATCACCATAAGATCATATCATACAAATTACTGTTATTGTTTTTGTGTGATTCTTATCTACTAGATACATTAAGCTCTAAATACTAAGAGGTTTGGTGGACTCAAGTTTCAATATTGGTCACTTTGACTTACTAATATGTGAGATCTTTTAAGGTCAATACCATAGTATCTTGGGTGGGTAATGTTGGAGCTCTGGGAACACAAATGCTCAATATGGAATCCATACTCTATAAGAGTTAGAATATCCCCTTGGTGCAATTTAATAGATTTGATCACTAGAACCTGGCCAGGACATTTTAGTAAAATGTTTACTAAATTATTTTTCTATTATTTATTGAGAAAAATATTTATTTTGAAAAATCTTTTCTAAAAGCATTTAATTTAGTGATCATAAAGATTAAGTTGGTTACTCAAGGAATATAAAATATAAGTAAGCTTTAGGTGGGATAGTATATATTTTTCTGGGGCTACTTTTGGATATTCGGTAGTGGAGGGGCTTATATGTAATTATTTAGTACACAGGGCCTTGTCATAATTTCTAAATCCTAGAGTGCAATTACAATACTATTTGTGGTGCTTATTGTAATTAATTGGATAGGATCCAATTGGAGCTAGGATAAGGAAGCCCTCTTGGATCCTCATCTCTAGGCCCAAACTTTTTTAACCGATTCTCTCAGATCATATATTCTGTGAGATATATTGTATCGTACACTATGTGAGATATCGATACAAAATATTGTATCGTACACTATCCAATATACAGAGAGTGAGAGAAAAGGTTAGGGTTCCACAAACCTACCATTGGAGTCATAGAGATGAAGACTCATTAGTTTTCAAGGCCAAAAAAGAAAGTGAATACTGTTTTCGAATATGACGATTATTCAATCGTCCAAAGATATAAGATCCCTTTACAGTACTTCTTGATTTGATAAAAAATCACATGGTTACGCTCTTGAAATTTTTTAAATGTTTTCGTTGCGCCTTCAATTGATATCAGAGCAACCCACGTACTTTTCATCAAATCATAGTGATGATTTGAATACTTGATTATTATCTATGCATTTATAGATGTTATATTCATGAAATGTTTTTCTTTGTTTCAAGAATATATATATTTTTTTTATTTATTTTTGTCCGATCTGCTAACCATGAGATGGTGATCGAGTAACAGTTAATATATATATATATATATTATTGACAATCTCTGGTGATACAGTGGAAAACGCCCATGGGAGTGGGTGATTACTATCACCCATGTGATAGAAATTATAAATAAATAAATAAATTTATGGAAAGAGATAGTAATGATTACCTTATAATCATTTTCTGCATCCATAAATTTGTTTATTTTGATATGGATATTATATTAAATTTATTCATTTGCATAAACTAATATTAGTATCTTGTATTGAATTACCCAAAAGGGACGCTATAAAACAGTGTTATATATGCAGTCCATATAGATAATTTTATATTTAATAAAATGATGGGCTGTTCGTGGGCAGTAATCTAATGGCTTAAAAGCCAATTGATTCTTCAATCTGTTATTTAATTCACATGGAGTATAAGTTCTCATGCTCATGAGAAATTAGGTTTTAAATTTATTAATTATTTTAATCCATTCAAATTATGGATTGAAACAATTTTTTGATGGGACTCAACGATTGCTGGTAACCAAAGAAGAACACTCACGGGGTGTTCTTGGTATATATATATATATATATATATATATATAGATGTTAATTATTTGATTGTGTTACGGCTGGCAGCCATTAGTTGTTTGCCCATGTGATGGTCTTACAATAGTAATGGAGAAATCATTTTTGGGTTATGGGAATTGAATAGTTTACATTAGTAAACTTGAATCAATATAATATTATATAATGATGGATGTAGATAAATCTGTTATCTAGAGTTTGATTGATATGAAAATTAATGGGTATTAATAAATGAATATACTTTGTTTTATGTTATATTTGTTTGAACAAATATTATATGTGTTACATCATTCCCATGCAATGTTCATTTTATATAAGTATATATGCATGTATTTGTATGCATATTAAAGTTTGATTGCAGGTGCAGATTAATTATTTAATCTCTCTCATGGTCCGGTTAAGTTTTAATTTATTATTTAATTATATGTGATGTAATTAATTAATAGAGGCGGCGTTTTAAAGGACTGATTGGTTTTTCCCTAGCCGAATAAGCTTATTTTATTTTATCTCGTTTAGAATTTTTGTAAACCCTAAATTGGGTATAAGACAAAGCCTTGTACTATATTTCTTAAATTTATGGTTGAAGTTTTTGAAGAGTTCAAGAAAGGATTCAAACAAGATAAGAGTCAAAGGCTTCCAATGGAGGAATTTGAAAGCACAAGGTGATCATGAAATGATTTTTAACCGGCCATGGGAGAGGATTAGAACTATTTATGGTGCAACATGATTTTTATTTACATGCTTATATTCATGTGATGGTTATATGCTTAAATCATGAATTGCTCTAATAATGTTTTAGTTAATTTTAAACTAAATAAAATTGGAATTATTTATTTGGGTTGTATTGGGAAAATTAGAACTTTCCAAAAAAATTTCAAAAATTTGATTTTCTGAAAATTAAATATTTTATTTTTAATTAAATTTTATGGAAAGTGTAGGATTATCTAATAATTAAGCTCAATAAATTGAGCTAAGTTGACCCAAATGGATTAGGCTCATTGAGCCTAAAAGAAATTTTAAAATAGATTATAATATTATTTAGATTAAAATTAATATTGTAATATGATAATATTATGCATAGGACGTATGGAATTTAAAACTCTCTAATTTCAAAAGTTAAGTGGGAACGGGATTTAATCTTAAATTCCACAGCCTTCCATTATCGATCTATTGTAAGGTGGAACAAGTACCTCGCCACCAGTCTTGGGTGTTCCTCCGGAGGATATTTGTTGCACTGGTTACTAGATATAGATTTCGGAGGATAGAACTAGCGATAGGCGGATGGGGACGATCACCATTAGGAGATGGACCTCATTCAATTGCACTACTTCTAGACAATGGTATACACTTGACTAAGTGGGAGTACGCTCCACCTTAGGGGGTATTTTCACTTAGAGGCTAAGGATAAATCGGTGGCCATATTTCATTTGGCATGAGATGCCTAGACAGTGGGATTTGGTGGAAATTGTTTCCGTTTAATCAAGGTAGTGACATAATCTCTTGGTAGTGGCATGTTCTTATTGCCCCCTGAGAGAAACGAGTGAATACCTACATGGATTATGATTACCGATATTTTCATTACATCAGTGGTTTAGAGAGACCCATTGAGAGACCATATGAAAACTAAAGTTTAATTTTTGTTTCTGAATGTATGCCCTTTTATTTATGCATAAATGTTTATATTTCGGATGTCGAATATTTTCAATCTGCTTGCTTCCTTACTTAAGGATAACAAATTACCCAGGTCGAACTATGTTAATAGAAAGAGAAATCTTCACACTGTGCTCACTCAAGAGTGCCCTCTTGAGCTTAGCCCTAATGACATCCAGAAGTACAAAGAAATTGATTCTAGTGCTGGGATTGTCAAGGTTAAGGGCAATAAGCATGATAAGTCCAAAGGGAATTGTTTCCATTGTGGCAAGGGGGGACACAAGAAAATGAATTGTTTGGTTTATCTTGCTAAGAAGCACTCTGAAGATATTTTTCATTCACTTGTTGCTGGGACATGTTATGTGGCAGGATCTACAGATACCTTGTGTGTAGATTCTGGAGCCACTAAGCATGTTTGCAATTCATTGCAAGGGTTCCAGGAAACCAGAAAGCTAAGTGATGGGAAGATTTATCTTCAACTTGCTTCACAAGCAAGGGTAGCAACTGAATACCCCTAATTTTAAAAAGGATAGTTCTGGAATTTATTTAATTGTTTAATTGGAATTTATTTAATTGTTTAATTGGTTTTTAGTTTATTTAATTGGTTAATTTAATTGTCTATTAACTGGCTTTTTGTTTTGCTTTACTTGTGTAATTATTTTTACTGTGCTTTAATTGTTTACTTATTTAGTTATTTTTATTTTATGTAATTGTGTTTTATTTTATGTCATTGCGTTAATTTTTTATTTAATGTAATTAAAGGTAATTGTTTTCTAGCTTCATGTTACAGTAGCTTTATGTTACAGTAGTATACACATAAGTAGCTGTCATGATTTTCAACTAGATTGTTTATGGGCCGAGTAAGTTAAATTAGGGTTTGAGAGAGCCTAGGATTGGGGTGGCCTATAAATACTCATCTAAGAGGTCTGCCTAAGGTTTTAGAATATCATTACGACACAGTAAGGTGGTGAGAAGTTTTGGAGACGTCTGAGTAATCAACCAAGTGAAGAAACAGAGATTCGCTGGAGATTATAGACGGACGTCGGTGTAAGGCAAGTTCTATCCATACTCTCTCCCTTAGGCTTCGTGTTCTTTGCATTCTTAAATAGTTTTAGGATTAATGGAATCAATTAAAAACATTCTCTGTTCGTGCTTAAACTGAAACTTGTCATATGTTTTTATGCTTTGTAAAACTGTTAAAAACATAATGTTTTCTTGCATAAATCCCTGTTTAAAGCTATGTATGTAATGTTAACTAGACTTAAGCATGGATTGGGAGTGTACTGGGATTGGGTTGCAGCCTCTTGAAGTCATGGTGTGAGGTAGTAGAGGTGTAAAACGGAGACAGAAGGCGAAGAGACAAGGCAGAAAAGAGGAAAGCCGGTTCTCCCTTGGAGAGAGCCGGCTCCCTTTGATGGGAGGCGGCTCCCAAGGGTGTGGGAGCTGGCTCTAAGGGCAAAAGAGCAGGCTCTTGCTCCAGTTTTCTTTTCTTTTCTTTTTTTTTTTCTTTTTTTTTTTCCGTTTTCTACTAGTTTTTGAATGCAGTGATGTTTTCTAGAGTTTTCAGATGTGTTTAGGACTGGATGTAGAAGGTCTAATTGAAGCATATGGTTGAATTAAGGCTCCAGATGTAGGGTTAATTAATCTAATTACCTGGAATTGCTTGGACAGTAGAAGAATTAATCAGATAATTACACTGTGTTTGGTTTTGGAAAACTAGTAAAGTTTAATTCTCTGCACTAGTAATCTTTTGAGACTGGTAATATAATTATAACATGTTTAACTGTGTACCATGATCATGTATTTGAATTATATATAGGTGGGATGTGTTAGTGTTTAATGGAATTAAGTTTTAAATTTAACACTAATGGAATTTTGTAAAACAACCTAAACTAAGTATGTATATATACATACTGTGATTCTATCTTGATGCTTGCAATAATAGTGTTAGTATCCACTGTTGGGGGAATGGACTTTGTTGATGTTTACTCTAAATGTCTGTAATATCAACTGTTAAGTGTTGAATGATAATTTGAAATACTTCTATCATTATATCATATTTAATGAAACAACCTAAACTGAGTAGGTTTGTATATATATGGTGACTATATTTCTTGATGCTTACATTAAGACTGTTAGTATCAGTGTTGGATATACAACTGAACATGTTTATGTATATAGCTGATTCTGTTTATTGATGCTTAAACTATGCTTTTAGTATCTATGATGGAGATATGGATTCAGTTGAGGTCTACTTTAATGGTTGATATTATCAACTGCTGGATGATTGGATAGTATACACCGGTATGGGACGGTGGTATACTAGGGACGGTTTGGTTTCAAAATACCAAGACCTACCTACTCTGGATTAAGAATTGGATTAACTAAAAGTTAAGTCCTATTGATTTTAATGTCATGACAACGACTAGTTGAGCGGCACTACTAGGATACATGATGGATTTTAAATATATTGTTATGGTACCTCGATATGAGCTTGAGTCTCAGGATTGACGGTTAGGGAGCGTATATGCATTGGGATTCATAGCTGGATACGATGGTTAGAGGTGTACCCTGTTTAGGTTTAGGTACACATGTCCACCTTGTGTGCGTTTTAGCATGTTACCTCTATTCAAGTTGAGACCGGCCTGTAGTCCAGTGAAAGTCCTTTAGTGTGACTATATATATATATTTATGGACTATTAGCTATTGTGGAATTGTTTAGGATGTACATGCGTATCGGGCCTCTATTAGGATTGTAGTAGTATAGAACTTGCGCGTGGGCATGACCTACTTCTATTTTTCAGGTACACGACAGTTCCAGACCTAGACGTGTTTGTGCTGAGCAGAGGTTTCTATTCACTCTTCCGACGATGTAGGATTCTCTCCATAGTTTATTTCTGGATGTTTATTTTAGTTGTTTTACTTCAGTCTGGATGTTTATTAGGGGTCCACTAGAGATGGATTCCCGAGTTGTAAACTGATGGAGTTTTGGAGTTTGGATATGGATTTCAATAATTATATTTTGAGGATTTTATTTTAGTTTCTTTCAACTTAAACTTCATTTCTTAATTCGATTTGTATTCTGTGTTCATTATAAAATATTAATTGTTCTATATCCCTCGGGTTTGGGCCTCGGCCTGATCAACCCATGACTCGGATCCGAGGGGTATCACAGCAACAGTATCAGTGGGAGTGGTTATTTTAAAAATAAATGGTAGGAGTTTATTATTGGAAGATTGCCTTTATGTACTAGAAAGCAGAATAACTTGATTTCTAATTCGGCTATTTCAAAATCTGGTTTTTCAATACTATTGATTCAAAAGTTTTGATAAAGAAAAATTTAAAGTTTATCTACTTTATTACATTGGTGGACGGTCTATATCTAATTACTCATATACCTCACTCCTTGTATGATACTGAAATGATTGATACATCGAGTGTCTTATCACAAAAAAGGAAGATTCCTTCAAATAATTCTACATATCTTTGGCATTTGCAGTTAGGTCATGTTAATCTAAACAGGATCCAAAAATTGGTTAAGGATGGGCCTTTGGGTTTTTTAGTGGTTGAACCATTTCCAGTTTGCAAATCCTACTTGGAGGGTAAAATGACAAAAAGGCCTTTTACGGCCAAGGGGCATAGAGCTAAAGAGGTACTAGAGTTGGTGCATACAGTTGTATGTGGTCCTATGAACATCAGGGCTAGAGGAGGATATAAGTATTTCATCACTTTCATAGATGACTACTCTAGGTATGGCTATGTTTACCTTATGCATCGCAAGTCTGAGGCTTTTGATAAATTCAAAGACTTTCAGGTAGAAAGTGAAAGACAGACGGGTAAAAGCCTAAAAACTCTTCGATCAGATCGAGGAGGGAAATACCTTTCTAGTGGATTTGAGGATCATTTATGAGAAAATGGGATTATTTCCCAAACATCTGCACCAGGCACACCGCAACAAAACGGTGTCGCTAAAAGAAGGAATAAAACCTTACTTGACATGGTAAGATTGATGATCAGTTATTTAAGTTTACCGGTATTCTTTTGAGGTTATATCTAAAGCAGTTTCATACACTCCCAAGGAATTGTATACTAGGTGTAAGCCTAGTTTGCAAAATTAATGTAAGTGGGAGTGTCTTGCACTTGTGTGGAAGGGAAAGCTTGAGAAGATGGGATCGAGATTAGATGTTTGTCTATTTGTGGGCTACCCAAATGGTACAAAGGGTTATTCATTTTATGATCTTAAGGAGAAAAAAATGTTCATCAGCACGAATGCTACTTTTCTCGAGAAGAATTATATAATGAATCACCATCCTCAAAGTATGGTTGTTTTAGAGGATATAATAAATACACCAATCAATCCAAGAGTGGATATAATAGTTATGGATAATGAGACATCAGAAACTACGAGTCCAGAATCTCTTATTATATCGGAACCTTAACGTAGTGGGAGGGTTATTAGGCCATCTGATAGGTTAATGCTCTTGGGAAAGTCTAACGAGGTGATCCCAGAAGAGCAAGATCCCTCTATACTTATGAAAAGGTTACGAATGATGGTGACTCGGAACATTCGTTTTGATCATGGTCAAATCATTTGAACATGATTAGAATATAAATGGGCCTTGTGTATACAAGAAGAGTGATGGAAGTGTGGTGATGTTTTAAAGAGATAGTTCAGCATAGGGATATTGTTGTCACTAAGATTGCATCTGCAAATAACCTTGCAGATCCTTTCACTAAGACTCTACCTACTAGGGTTTTTGAGTCTCATATTGAAGGGATGGGTGTTAGATGTAATGGTAATTGGTTTTGAGTGCAAGTGGGAGATTGTTGGGAAAATATGCCCTATAAGCTAAGTATTTATTATTTATATTTTATTAATAAATATGATATTCATGCATTGGGCTTTACATATATTTGTATGAGATGCATTATTGTCCTCAAGTTGCATTATAGGCGACTTAAGTGTGTAAATGAGATTTACAAGCAGGAGATTTGGGCTCACCGGTTTCTTACAACTTGGCATTGTTCGCAATCAGTGATAAAAGTTGGGCACTTTTATCTGTAAGACTGTAACACACTTGACCTCTATAAAATAGGATGAGTTGTCTCGACCATTGGGGTAGTTGACTCTAAGGTAGTGTGTTAGTGTGCTTGGAGTACACTGAACTGGATCACCATAAGATCACACCATACAAATTACTGTTATTATTTTGGTGTGATTTTTATCTACTAGATACATTAAGCTCTAAATTCTAAGAGGTTTAGTGGACTCAAGTTTCAATATTGGTCACTTTGACTTAGCAATTTGTGAGATCTTTTAAGGTCAATACCATGATATCTTGGGTGGGTAATGTTGGAGCTCTGGGAACACAAATGTTCAACATGGAATATATACCCTATAAGAGTTTGAATATCCCCTTGGTGCAATTTAATAAGTTTGATCACTGGAACCTGGCCAGGACATTTTAGTAAAATGTTTACTAAATTATTTTTCTATTATTTATTGAGAAAAATATTTATTTTGAAAAATCCTGTCTAAAAGTATTTAATTCAGTGATCATAAAGATTAAGTTGGTTACTCAAGGAATATAAAATATAAGTAAGCCTTAGGTGGGACAGTATATATTTTCCTGAGGCTACTTTTGGATATTCGGTAGTGGAGGGGCTTATATGTAATTATTTAGTACACAGGGCCTTGTCATAATTTATAAATCCTAGAGTGAAATTACAATACTATTTATGGTGCTTATTGTAATTAATTGGATATGATCCAATTGGAGCTAGGATAAGGAAGCCCTCTTGGATCCTCATCTCTAGGCCCAGACTTTTTTAACCGATTCTCTCAGATCATATATTCTGTGAGAATATTGTATCGTACACTATGTGAGATATCGATACAAAATATTGTATCGTACACTATCCAAAATACAGAGAGTGAGAGAAAAGGTTAGGGTTCCACAAACCTACCATTGGGGTCATAGAGATGAAGACTCATTAGTTTTCAAAGCCAAAGAAGAAAATGAATACTGTTTTCGAATACGATGAATATTCAATCTTCCAATCCCTTTACAGTACTTCTTGATTGATGAAAAATCACGTGGTTACGCTCCTGAAATTTTTTAAATGCTTCCGTTGTGCCTTCAACTCATTACTAAATAAAAAAGAAAAAATTGATTCGGGAGATAAGTTATTGAGATCTCGGTTTTGAATTACTTTCTTGACTTGAATGGTATATGTACAATGGAATCGATACATGTGTTCTAAGAAAAAGAAAAAAAAAATAAAATAAAATAAAAAATTCAAGCCTATTTTATGCCAAAGAGAACAAACTACGTTCTTAGATATATATATATATATGTATATATATATACTGTGCTACCTTCTATATTGGTTTTGAAATTGATATTATGGAAATGACTAAACCTCGGATGATTCTTTTTTTAGACTAATCATTCAATAATGACCACTTCCTAACTTCTTTAGATATTTGTATCCATTAACCTAAATATTGTATTCAATATTTTTCACAAAGAAAAATTAATAATGTAGACTTACTTGCATCTTGCTGCTACAAAATAATATTTTTATTATTTTAGTTATTTTATAATTAAAATATGCAATACATATGTCCCTCAACTAACTTATATTATAACTATATTTTGTAAAGTACACCAATCAACAGAATCATAGTTTAATTGAATTTAAGATGTCCACGGGCATAAGAAAAATATATTTTCAAGTTACAGTTTAAAAAGGTCAAATATTAGAATATATATATATATGAACAAAGTTGTTTACCATATTATTATTACTCTGAAAATGAAGCACAACAATGCTTTTGTGTGTGTGTATATATATATATATATTTTCTCTCTCTCTCTCTCTCTCTCTCTCTCTCTCTCTGTGTGGAAAAGTCGAGCAATAGGTAATTACAAGAGTGGGCCTGAAAGAGCCCCAAAAAGCTGGTCCATTATAGAGGGCCTAACTGAGTATCCATACCACTAGTACTTTGATTAATTATGTTATAATTTCGTAATTTAGAGATATAAATGTTCTGAAATTAATAGGTTTGTTTGAGTGTAAAATCTTTTTCGAATTTTTTTTTTTTTTTTGTGTTTTCCGGTATTTAGTTGTTGTAAAATATCAACGAAGAAAAAAAAATTTTAAAACTGAACAAAAATACCTTATTCATTAATTTTTGGCGAGCTATTTTACACGCTCCACCCGATGAACTCGATCTCAACCTTGATCTAGACCTTTACTAAACACCAAAAAATAAAAATAAAAGCAAATATTTTAATTGAAAAAAGAAAATATTTTCCGAAGAAACAAACGAAGCCTAAGCAGAAAATAACAAAACACAGATCAATCACACACAATAAGAACCCACATATTTTTATTTGGTTTACCCAAAACTAGAGATACGTCTAAGGGTTGCATGAATTTTTACTATGACAATCAAAACAACACACAATACAATACACAATCCAGAGAGTTTAAAATGAATAAGTACCATTGCACTAAGGCAACACAACAAATGGGAAAATTATCAAAATACTCCTCAAAAAATAGAGAAGTAAGTCTCCACACCACCCATCAATAAATATTTTGATTAATTATATTATAATTTAGTAATTTGGAGAAATAAGTATATATGTAGTGGAATTTGATAAATGAAAAATGAGGAGATTCATAATTATCGTAGGGTACAAGATAATAATTAGAAACTCGAAGTTCATGTTTGGATGCTTTAGGGTAATGGATATCATCAACAATTAGTTTACACACACAAATGTTGAATAATATGGGGCATGAAGCAGTTCAGTTTTCGATTAGAAAATCTCGCAAGGATATCATTAGAAGGCTTGCAAGAACAGAAGAACTCATACTTTGACAGCTTGGGGTCTTCAAGAAAGGCAATGAACAGTGGCATCTGATCTGGACTCTTTGATTTTCACTCTAGGCACACAAAGAAATCAAACACTCATTTAAGCAACTCAAGAGAAGCTGAAGAACCCTAGCAAAAAAAAAAAAAACTTTTCTCTCACAGCTTCTGTATATATATATGAAGCTCTCTGCATTCTCAAGTTCTGCATGATTAAGATCAATTATATGATAAGAAAGATTAATTGAATTGACTATATATATATATATTAGATATTAAAAGGCGTTGAGGTCACATTCCTAACTTGAATGGTCCGTGTGTTGTGAGGTTAATACACTCGCATTCTTGATTTGAATGGTAAGTGTATTGTCGAGCCGATACACGTGCTCTAAGAAATATATATATATATATATATATATATATATATATTAAAAGGCCACTTTTATATTTTTAGCCTAAGGCATCAGATTATATTGAACTGCCCTGAACATGTATATACTATTACATAATCATCTTTGTACATTATACACATTAGTAACACTTGGAAGTTGGAACTTATCTGCAAAACAGAATACAACCAAACAAAAACATAATATGCACGTAGATGAGATGCAAAGGCTTTAGAATTGTTGAGGATTGTAACTGTTTTAAACTTGGTTTCTTGTGTCAAAATGAGTTAGCTTCTCGTCAAACTCTATTTTTCCTCTCTCTCTCTCTCCAACTCTATAGAGCATAACGACAGAGTTTTAGGGTCAGTTTGGTGCAATGGCAAAGGGAGGAAAGGGAAGGGAACGTGATGGCGGGGGATTAAAAAGGTGTGTTTGGCATAAATGGTGGGAAGGAAAGGGAATGATGGATGGTTTTGGAAGGATAACTCAAGACATGAATAGTGCTTTTCTTAACCTCCTAAAAATGGGAGGAAATGGAAGGAAAGGGAAGGCTAGGGTTGATGTATTAGCTTTGATGCCAAAGTTACCCTTGTACACAAAATCAGGATTTAGTTTGCAAAACAAGAATTACAGACC